TTCATGGATAGAAACACCCTTTAGTGCTTACTTGTGTTGTGATATATGGCCCAATGCCTGTGTGATGAGCGCACACTGTGGGCCACGCAGCTGAGAAAAATACAGAAGATCCAGCCCCCTCCCAGGGTCCCCCTGGAAAGGCCAGCATTCAGAGGAGCACCACTGTTAGGGTCACCTAACAGTGACCCCGAGGGAGGGGGCCACTTTATCCATGGCCTTGGAGAGAATCAAGGAAAGATCGCATTGGTGACGAGAATTCAGGATAGGCTTTGACCATGGGATGGAGTTTGGACAGCAGGGGTGAGGAGGAGGTGGTTCCAGATGCGGGGAGGCAGCGGCGGGGGGAGGGGCATGCCCAGATGGTGAGCTGAAAGCCACTGGGGACTTAGCACCAAACAAGCACCTGCTAGCTGGGCACCTTCGTAGCTGGAGCCTGCAGGGGAGCCCCACCCCCAGGGCACCTCCTTCCTAAGCCAACCTCAGGCTGCTGGGCACTGGTGCCAACTATGTGTGTTTCCAAGGAGGCATGGAAGCCATAGCAACCCTCTTTTGTGGCAGGGGTCTCTGATGTGCTTGGCCAGAGCAGAATATTCAAACTGCGGTGAGAACGAGTACTACAACCAGACCATGGGGCTGTGCCACGAGTGTCCCCAGTGCGGGCCAGGGGAGGAGCCCCACCTGGTAAGACCCAGCCCTCCTCCGGCGCCATTGCACTGCGTTTGCACCGCTGTGCGAGGTCACCAGGGTAAGCCACGCCGGCCTTCTGTGGTTGCTGGGCACGGAGATTGCACGGCGCAAGCTGCGATGACCCACGCGGTGCTGACCGGCTGGGTGAGGAGCTGAGCGTTAGTAAACAGATCTCTCAGGAGCTCTTTTTACTATTTTTAGAGGCTTGCATTCCTATTTCGCCTTGGTTGAGTTTCGGGTCATCTCCATTGGATGTGTGACTGATGTGTCCTGCAGTAGCCGCATCTGCCTTCTCCTCCAGGAAGGCAAAGCAGGGGTGTTCTGTTAAGCACTGAAAGGAGCATCCAGGGTTTCAGGATCTGGGGTTCTCACAGAGAGCTGAGAAAAGTCAGATGTCACGGGCAATGTCTACTGCCAGGGCATGCCAGTAGCCAGTTGGATTTATTCCGGGACTCAGAAGAGGGCAGGCAGTGTCTGGAGCCCGCGTGGCAGGGAGAGGGCGAGCTGAGCCAGGGCTGGCAGATGGGGCTTCTTGCAGCTATGACGAGTTGGGAGGCCAAGGCCCAGCAAGAGCATCTTCTGGAACAGCCAGTGTTTTGCCACCCAAGGGCTGTTGGGCCACATCCTTGTGGGCTCAGCCACTGTGTTCACCTGTGTCCTCTGTCCCCTCCCCCGGTCAGTCCTGCGGCTATGGCACCAAGGACGAGGACTATGGCTGCATCCCCTGCCCGGCAGAGAAGTTTTCCAAAGGAGGCTACCAGATATGCAGGCGCCACAAAGACTGTGAGGGCTTCTTCCGGGCCACCGTGCTGACGCCGGGGGACTTGGAGAATGACGCCGAGTGTGGGCCATGTCTCCCTGGGTGAGTAGAGGCACCACCAGACAAGCCCTGGTGGACAGAGCAAAGACCTAGAACAGGGGCTGGGGGCTCCGCAGGCCTCAGCGTAGCATCACGCCGGCCCTGTGTCCCGTTGCATGAGGGGCAGCAGCCAGGACAGCAAGTCCTGTCATCTCCTATAGGCAGCCCACCAGGCTCTGTGTCCACACCTCTTAGTGGACACAAATCATCATGGTATCTTCTGACCGCCCAAATGAAACAAACTGGTTGAATTACTTATAATGAATCAACACATGTGAAATCCTTTGGAGAAAACTCCCACACAAAAGTGTTCTTTTTAGTACTTTTATTATTCTGGAAAAACTGAGGATTTAAGTCAGGGGATGCCTATAATTCCACCACAATTCTGCAATGTATAAAAAATCTCCCAAAAAAGAAAAGTGAAAATGCTATTGGCCTGAAAGACAGAAAGATAAAATCTTCCTTTTTCCAGGCGGGGCACACTAGTGAGTTCTGCCTGGGAACTGGAAGATACAGCCTTGACAGAGGGTAAATGCGAAGGCACGGCTGGTGCTGCTGCTTCCCTCTAGTGGCCACAAAACAGTGCTTTGCAAGGGTTACAGGTGAAAACAAAGCAGCAGAAGAGACTGCCCTGATAGAGTTGGTGGAGGTGGTGGTGGAGGTGGTGGAGGTGGAAGTGACGGTAACAGTGCAGGTGATGATGGAGGTATTGATGGAGGTTAGGAGGCAAGTGATGGTGGGGATGATGCAAGTGCAGGTGGTGGTGGAGGTGATGGTGAGGATGATGCAAGTGCAGGTGGTGGTGGAGGTGATGGTGAGGATGATGCAGGTGCAGGTGGTGGTGGAGGTGATGGTGGGGATGATGCAGGTGCAGGTGGTGGTGGAGGTGATGGTGAGGATGATGCAGGTGCAGGTGGTGGTGGAGGTGATGGCAGCAATCAAGGCAACAGCGGTGTTTTGAATAGCACAATGTGCTGGTGCACATGTTGTCTCCCTGGATCAACGCATTGAATTAAGAGGAGGAAAAAATATGGTTACATTGAAAAGAGATCATTGAGCATTAGCCTGTAAGAAGGAAGCACCAAAAATTAGAAAGCCCCAGCAACTTGAAACAGAAAGTGAATAACTCTTTAAAATATGGATATATTTTAGGTCACAGAAAATATTCTCAGTTCCAATTTGTTACTGAGATGCATTCCTTTCCACAGCTCCCACCACCATCTCTCTGCTGTTGACAGTACCCAGCCCCAGGCTCCCCAGTTTTCTGTCTCCAGCTCAGGCCTCCCTCTTGAGCTGCAGACACATCTGTCCAAGTATCTGCTAGACAACCCCATGTCAACACCCCTGGCACAGAACATGATTTAAACGTATTTATCCAATGAATACATAAAACAGGAGAACCTTGTCACTGAACCTTATTTTTCAATTTGCAAAAAAAGCAGATAGCTAGATAGCTATAACCAAGGAAGATACTATTCTCTTAGAAAATATAACAATACAGTTCTATAGCTGGGTAGTCTTTAGCTCCGTTGTTGCAGTTTATTGTATTGTGAGGGCTTCACCAAAAGGAACTTGGGTGTTGGGAGAACCAGAATGGACACAGGCCCCTCTACCACACAACAAGCTTTTCAGGGTGCTCCGTGCAGACACTGTGCTTGGTTCCTCATGAGAGAAATTCAGTAAGATCTTGACATTAGATGGCTAGAATCTGTCTCTGATAATTTGCATGCTTCCTAGAACTTTACCTTGATTGATTAACCTTACTGATTTTACTGGTGGAGATTCACGATCCATGAAGGAAACGCAGCACTTCCTTGCCTTACTCTCCTTGCAAAACCCTGCAAAAAAGGACCATCTTTGCAAAACCCATACTTATTTCTAAAGACCCTCAGTGTATTGACCTGACATTCAAAACATAATGAATTTATTTTTGTAAACCTTTGAATTAAGAGCCTACTTAAGACAGAGAGGAAAGAGATGGCTTCTCTCTTTTCAGTGGAGAAGTGAGATAGGAAACCAGCGGCTGCAACACAGTGTGGCAAGGCACACACAGAATGTTCTAGAAGTCGAGGAAGGACTCTCACCTCATGGCTGGGGAGATGGAATCAGCAGGGGTCTTAGTATATGTGCTGCCGAAGCGAGCACATCAGCAGGGGTCTTAGAAGACTATGGAAGTGATGCTAGAATGAGTTGGGCTAAGAAGTAGGGCAGAGCTCTCCAAGTGAAGTTTCTGGGGCCACAGCTCAAAGGGCTACGTAGCTGGACAGGGCCTGGAGCTCTGAGGGGTCTGGTGGCCACAGCCAAAGGAGCAAGAGGGACCTGGTGAAGTGAGAGAGGCAGGCAGGGGCCAATGGAAAAGGGCTCTGGAAGCCAGTGCCAGGACATCAGCTTGAGGCTGATGTGGGTCACCATGCAGACTGCCCTGCTGGGGCAGGACGCAGTCAGGCTGCACAGTAGAGCCCGGTCTGGGGCCAGAGGGGAGGCGCAAAGTGGTGAGAACCGTAGCAGAGGCATTGGGTCCAAGGACAGGAGGAATCTGAGCGTCCTCGGAGGGCAGCTCTGACAGAGTTGCAGACTGAGCCTTGTGGGTTGCAGGGGGCTGGAGGCAGGGTGTGACGCGCTGGTATGGGGCATCCAGACTGGAGTCTCTAGCACAGCGCAGACGGAGAGGTCCAAGTTGAAAGCCAAGACTTGGATGGAGCTGGAAGCCGCTGGTCCAGCTGGGCTCCTGTGGGCAGGCTGGCAGGAGGGAGACCCTGGCCCAGCTTGGCTCAGTGCAGAGAGGGCGTCGCAGCCGCAGTGCGTGGGATCCAGCCATGGCTGTGTGTGACCCGAAAGTGAGCATGAGTGTGGAGCCAGAGCCTTTCCCACCAGAAGGACTGGCCTATCATAGACATGGATGGCCGTCTGCAGAATTAGTGGGCAGTGGCACGTGTGCTTTTCAAAGGCTCTTCCTTGAGGAACTGGCCCTGCCCCACGGGAACAGTAACCGCTTAGTCCACACCTTCTCCTCCGCTCCCATGACCCTGCGAGGCCCAGTGCGCCGGGGCTCTAGGCTGGGGAGAGTCCTGGGCAGGGAGGCCATGTGCTCAATCAAGCGCTCCAACCGCAGGCCACCGAAACACAAGGCGCCTCCTTTACCTCCGGTCCCCAGCCCTCTGCTGGTGGCTAATGTCCCCCCCCCCCCCCCCCCCCCCCCCCCCC